GTGGTGCAGATACCTGATGAATACTAGTCATCCATAATAAATGAAATCCTGTTACTTGTGGCAATGAGGATGGAAATGGAAGACACTGTTAAATGAAGTAAGCCAGGAACAGAAAGTAATACACCTTGTTTTTTCACTTATACATGGAAACAAAAAAATAAAAATTAAAAATAAAAAAATAAAGAATAAAAAAGGTCTCCTAGAAGTAAAGAGTAGAACAGAGAATTCTAGAGGCTGGGAAGGGTAGTGGAAAGGGGGAGATAGGCAGAGATTTGTTATAGAAAACAACATTTAAGTTAAGTAGGAGGAATAGATTATAATCTATTTACCATTTTACCACTGTGGGATCAATGTAGTTAACAATAATATGGAGTTTCAAATAGTAGAAGAAGTATATTAGTATTCTCAATAAAAACAAAAGGATTGAGATGATGGATATGCTAATTATCCTAATCTGGCCCCTATACATTATATGTATCAAAACATCACTGTGTAACTCATGAACATTGACAATTATTATTTGTCTATTATCATTGTGTTTAAAATAACACAAAATTCATTGGAAGTGACCTAAATGGACGCTCTGGGACAGGTGTGGGGATAAAGGCAGCCTCTGAAATACATGCCTAACATGTCCATGGGAAAAGGAGCTTCCATTAGCATTTTCTATTTTTAGCACTGAGTAGATCCAACATTTCTCAAAGCTTCCCTCTACAGTAGAGAACTGAGATCCAGGGAGGTCTTGCAGGCAGCCAGGTATGCAGAGGGAAGAAACAGGAATAGAGGGTTGCTGGCCCATTCAACAATAGTAGGAATGATCATTATGCACGTAGAGAAGTCAACATTGTTTTAAAATAAATTGCATCACTAAAATACATGAAAAAATTTCAAACAGAAATTCTTAAATATTATTGGCAGTGAAACTGTTTTTGGTGAAGAAATATTCATGAAGTTAAGTGAGCCAGTAAAGTTGTTAAAAACTATAATAAACATTGGATTGGATTCAGCTTTGTCTTAATTCAATGTGATTATTACTGACTCAGGTAGGGGGTCAGACATCAAGATAGATACGTGGTAACAACCAGAAAAAGCCATGGACCAAAAAGATTCACAGCCAATTTTTTTTTTCAGATTTATGAAGAAGAGATGCACCAATCCTACTGAAACTCTTCCCAAAAACTGAGGAGGAAGGACCACTCCCTGAATTATTCTATGGGAACAGTATTCTGATAACAAACCCTGACAGAGACTCCATTAAAAAAAAGAAGAGATAACTTTAGGCCAGTATTCCTGATGCAAAACTGCTCAATGAAATACTGACAAACTGAACACAGCAGTACATCAAAAAGCTAATCCACCATGATCAAGTAGGCTTTGCTCCTGGGATGCAAGGTTGGTTCAATATATGCAAATCAGTAAATGTTATTCATCATATAA